TTTTTTTTTCTGAGTATCTGAGAATAATTTCGAATATCGATCGAGTTTGAAAAAAAAAAAATTCCGAAATATATGTAAGAGTTACAAGGTAAAATACAAAAGCACAGATTTAGTAGAAAGCAACAAAAGTATTTAAACAGCCAGTCATCAATACAAATGTAGTAACAAATGTAACAAAATAATTATATTAACAAGCCTTAATATTCAGTTATTGTAACATTCATTTCACCTGTTATATACTTAAAACAAATACCGCGGACTAGCTACATTCTCAGACTGATTTCAACTTTCATCGATCAGAATTGTCGATAGTTCTCTCTCATTGCAGTTTTTACATAACATAGCGAGTATAGTGAATGTTCGAATACTTTGTACACACGGTACATCACATACGTATCATCGTATTTCATCGACTTGACGATAAATCAACGTTTCCTCGTTACGATGTCTCGGATAATTGAACGATCGACGCGGTTTGATGGAAATGCGTTCGTTACTTCGACGAGGATCCTCCGTTCTTCTCTTCTTCTCTCTCTCTCTCTCTCTGTTCATCGAACATACATAACCACAAGTATGCGCTCATAAGCCTCCGTTTACGCTCCGTTTAACGCTTAAAACTCGCCACGAGGGATGCACCATTCCTCCAATTACCAAACCGATCTCTAATTGACCAATTACTATAGATTTCCCTCTGCGTTCGTTGGAATTGGCAATTCTATGCGCGTGAAATGAAACTCCGGTCGTACAAATATTTCCATTTCTATTTCAGCCCAAATTTCGGCCCGATCGAATGAACTCTTGCTGAATTTGAACTCGCGAACTCCAATTACATGAATTATTTGTTCTTTGATAAGTCCATATAAATGGTGCATTTTCTGTAGTTGTTTTTAAATTAAACAAATTGGTTTGAAGTGTTTGGTACTTTTGAAAAGGATTTCAATGTTGCACGCCGACCTAAAGAATATCTTCAATTCTATAACACAGAATTTATTTCTTGTTTCTTGGCTAGGCATGTACCGAAGTTTCATCTGTCGAAAATTTTCGTGAATATCCTCGGCACATTTTTATATCTTTATCCACGGCAGACATCACAATCAAGCAGATCTTCATTCGTTAGTAGAAAACTTGGAATTAAATCGCACAGAATGCGCGCGATGAGATATGATATCCAAAATGTATGTTCCCTACAATCACGTATGTCAATCTTTCTAAATTTGTCGTTCTTTGTCATTTGTCTCATCACACCGTGAATTCATCATATTTAGAAAATGTCCAAGACGATCGACGATCCTTCCTCTTCCTCACTTCGATGAGATGTCGCGTTCAATGCCTCGGCAATTTTCTC